AGACACACCCCCCCTCATATCCAGAGACACTTCCTTGGCACCCCCACATACCAATACCAAGTTCTCACCTGACTTTGAGTAAGGAATAGAAAAAAATATTCTACATAAGGTACTGTTCTGCTTGTGTACAGTATACCTGTGAAGAGTCACACTGATGTATTATGTTGACTAATTCTTCGCTGAAATGCTTCGGACCAGAAATACTTCAGCATTCACATTTTTTTTTTCATATTTTGGAATATTTGCATATATGTGATGAGGTATCTTGGGGGTAGGAATAAAGTTTAAATTCAAACTCCATTTATTTCTTCTATGTACCTTATACACCTAGCTTGCAGGTAATTTCATACAATATTTTTTTGTGTGAGCCTGCATTTTGAATGCAGATGGGGAGGTCATCACATGAGGTCAGATGGGGAGTTTCCCTCGGTGCCATTGTTAGGTAGGAGTTCAAGATGTCAAGATGGCGGAGGCAGGGTATAAGAAGGGTGCCACAGGAGGAGAAGACTGGGAGATAGTCATACCCATTACCAGCGTAACTCCTGCCACTGAGGACTTACCACCATGACAACTCCTACCCACGGGTTCCGTATTGTAAAATGACCAACGGGGGTAAATTGGGTAGTACTCCAATTAGTTTTTCCATAGTAACCAATGGGGGCAAATGGGGTAAGCCCTTCAATCAGGTCTGTGCAGGAAGAGAAAGCCTCACGCTCAGCATACAAGGCTAGTTTCCAGACATTGGCCCTTGAGCCTCTCTCTCTTGCTGGGCCCCTCTGCTCTACCTTTGTTTGGGACATCGAAGACCTGGAGCCCACTTGGACATCCTGATGACAACACCAACCTGTTGGCATTCCTGATTTGGGAGTTTCAGTTCAGGGATGCTCACCTTGTAGTTGTTTTTGTTTTGTTTTTCTCACCTTTTATTTGAATAAAATTCCTTGAAAACAATGAAGAGAGGCCTGAGTCTAGAATTAATCAAAGTATAGCAGTCTGGAATTTGTTCATTGATGTTGGTGAGGATGATTGATATCACTCCATAATGCTGCAATTAGTTTTCATACATTTATAGAGTCAATAAGCAAGATATTAGGTTATTAATGGTTTTAGTGATAGATTTCTTACTTTGGCTGCAAATCAAGAACAGATTGGATATTTTGCAATACATGCCTTGCTTATTAAGTTTAACCCATCAGTAGTCAGAAGAAATCAGGCAATCAAGGCTAGGAGAAAAACAATTTTGAACAACATGATTTTTTTTTAAATTTTATTTTTAAGTTTTGATTTTTTTCTCAGTATTGGGGATTGAACCCAGCACCTCAGCCAAGCTCCACAAGTGCTCTATCACTAACCTACATCTAAGCCCTTACTTTATTTTGTGATATTTTATTTTATTTTGAGACAGGGTCTCACTAAATTGTTGAGGCTGACCTTGAAATTATGATCCTCCTGCCTCAGCCTCCCAAGTAGCTGGGACTATAGGCAGGCACCAATATGTCTGGCACTTTTGTTTTGTTTGACTTTTGATTTTTATTGGTGTTTACAAGTGTCCTTTTCTTAAAACAAATAAAATTGAGTGCCATGACACCTTGTGAATTATAATGCCAATCATGTAGCAGATGGAGGCTTAGAGAAAATAGACATTCCTAAGGGCTTTGAAATTCTGCAAAAGAAATATATATATATATATATATATATATATATATATATATATATATATTCATAGAAACAGTCATATAGTGAATTTTAGTGTAGACTTTAAAGAAATGACAACAAAAGCATGTCTACTTTTAAAGTTTAATGCCTAAAATTTTATCTACAAAAATTTAATTGTAATATATAAAACCTTTATGAAGCAATAATATAATTCAGGAAAATGATCATATTTATCAATTTTTTTTCCTAAATGAAAGAGAATTTGATTAATGAGTGGAAGACAAATTTAAAACCTGGCAGTCAAGATTTCCTTAAAACTACTGAATCCAAATTGTTGGCTAAGGAGCTGCAGTCAACAGGTGGAGGTAGGCTTTCCACTAAGGCACAGGGCAAAGGCCACACAACCACTTAAACCAGGAAGCACCTTGTAAGGTCAGCCAAGGCTCAGAGGGAAAAAGATGCCTTAGTCTTCTCATTCATCATTGCACTAAACACTACTGTGTGAGGACTAAAGAGTGAATTACAGCATTTCATCACAAAATATGCTTTCACATCACAATTATCACGGATGTGATTGGCCTCCTGCTCAGGCCAAACCAAAATCTGATGTTTGAACGCATGAGTCCTGTTCATACTAAATCAGATATTTATACATATTCAATTGCAATTATTTCTCTTTTGAAATTCAGTGTTGACCATATGTCATATAACCTTAGTTAAAAACATTTTATTTGGAAATGTGTGTGGTTTTGAGCCCACAAAATTAGTAATATGAATCATTTGTAATAAAAATAATCATTAATTTTAGATAAGATTCATTGCTATGATTTGAGGTATGATGATGCATTTTTAAAAGCATACATACAGTTTTGATGGGGGTTTCACTCTTTTATGGGACCCACTTAACTCAAGCTTCCCAACCTTGAGCAGGTCAAATTTTGTCATTTGAATGAACTCTTCTGCCTACTAGAACATTCTGAAAAGTCCCTATAGTATTTTTAATAATTGATCATTTCCAAAAAAATATTCAATATTAAAACAAAACTATTTCAACATTAAACTTTGCCGTTCACACCTCTCAAGCAGAAATAGAAGACAAAAATAATTAATATATATACAAGAATGTTTTATTATTTTCTATGATGGCTGTCCTTTACAAAGGCATAACTCTAAGGTGAGTTTAGAAAAAGACTCAGTAGTTGCTAACTTGTAACATGTGCAAACAGGATTAGACAGAAATGGTGTTCCCAATCGACTTTTCAAAAGCCCTTAATGCCATAACTATGCAAAGAAAGATTCAGTGCTCTTTACTTGGGCCTTATTATTAGACTCCATATTCAGTTTTTACTGTATGGAAGACTGAAAGGCTTGGATTGGGGGAAGAATTCTCTGGACTTTCAGGAGGGAAATTCTTGGGGCTATTCATCTCATTTTCATCCAGGAAAGGAATCTTGGGGCTATTGGTCTCATTTTCAAGTGCGCTGTCACTCTGTGAAAGCAGGAACGCATCTCTCTGGGGGACTTCACTCATCCTGTAGTTTACACAGTTTAAAGAGTCAGCCACAGTTGGAGTTTCAGAAGACCGAGGGAGGCAATGGTAAATAAGCTCCCCTTTGGAAAGCAAAGGGCGACAAAGGTCAGGATAAGAAGGCTCCGCGCCTCCTTCCTTGGCTGACAGCTGTGCAGGTGACAGATTAGAGCACTGCGTCCCAAATGCGAGAAGCAATCAACCTCATGGACAAAACGCACATTTTTACAGGGTTCTTTCTTATCTCCCTGGAGAAGAATGAAGTGCAATCTTCCAACGAAGAAAAGTCCTTGAGACCTGGCTGCCTGGGGTGGGGGTGGGGGGGTGGGGTATGGTGGGGCATACAAGGAAGCACCATCGTGGCGCTAGGTTAGGGAAGGGGGGCTTTGTTTTCACCCAGCCTTGTTTTCCTAGCTCCTACCTCACCTTGTCGTTCCACCCAGCTACTGAAGTTCGAGGACGGGTCTCTAATGTCCTTAGGGTACAGTCTGCGCAGGGGCAGTACTAGAGGCAATCTGCCTATCCCATCCTGCTCCCTACACCTGCCTCCACCAACTCCCTACAGAGGGATTCTGGATGCGTATTCTCCCTCTTTCCGGGACACTGCGGAGCACCTTCGTTCAACTATCTAAAGGTGTCTTTTCCTTTTTTACGCGAAGATTAACGAAGTTCTCTCCTCCGTCTCTTCTCTTCTCCAAGTAGAAGTGTTCATCCACTCCGCGGTAAACGCGGGGAATATTCTAGCTCCAGGCCACTTTGCCCCAGGATTTCGGAGCTTCTCAGAACTGGAACTTTGAGACCAGTGAGGCTGAGAGACATCCAGAGAAATCAGGAAACTGGTTCTTTCTCTTCCAGATCGAGTTTCCCTCCCGAACCAGCCCGCCCTGGTGGGTCCCTGTGGCCACCTCAGGTCCGGCGCTCCCCCCGGGTACCCCAGCGCTCCTCCGCCCCTTGCATCTGCCCAGTTCGGGCAGTTCTTCACCCAGGAGCCCGCCTCTCCTATTCTGCCCCCTTCTGTCTACATCCCAGGTCATCTACAACCACCAGCGTGTCCCTTTTTACCTCCTCCCCAGGTCGCTACATAAGTTTGGCACCCCGAGGTCTACACTGCCTCTCCCAAGTCGGGCAAAACGCCTCTGAAGAAGAAAGTAGGAGAAGGTCTCCGTAAACTTTGCTCCGCGGACTTTCCAGTGTCGGTGGGCGAAGGGTGCACACACACCTGCCTGCTCACCGGCGCAGGTACACCTTCCCGGGAGCACACATGGAAAGAGGCAGATTGCCAATGGGCAGATGTTAAGGGCACATGAAATTCGCTCGCTATAGCCGATCGGTTCGCAGGGCGCTGATGGTGCATCACAAGAGAATTTCGAAATGGGCTTGGAGAGCGGGGACCAGAAAATGGTGATTCTTAACACACGCAGATACACTCGGGCGTCTGCACACCGAGCAGTTCTACGGAAAGGCGCACACTTTTTGAGAGCAGCTCGTTGTGTGGATTGCACCGTGTATAATCTCCTCCGAGGAGGCTTCGGAACTGAAGATCCCCTTGGTCCACTGGACTTCTCAGTATGGTCGAAATCAGCCCTGCTCACTTGAGGATAGACACCAAGGAGCTTCCGGAGCCCCGGTCTGCAGAGTCCCCCAGGCAGGTGCGGGTCCCCAGCCCGGTCAAGCAACAAGCGGACAGTCCGCGGGAGGGCCGGGTCCCTCTTGGCCCCCGTCCCCGCGCCTGTCACCTCTCCCCGCCCCCACTCCCCAAGCAGCCAGCGGGGCCAAACGAACGCCGGGGAAGGAGAAAACCGAGCGAGCGACTCACCCCCAGCTTCCTGCTGCGGATTTTCACGTAGCCCTGCTTGACGATGTCGTTAAAGTTGGAGGCCATGGCCAGCGCGTTCGGGCTTGTCTGCCGCGCGAGCCGCTTCCCGGAGTCGAGAGCCGCCGTCCGCCGCCGGGTCCGCGCAGGTCTCGCATCCAGCCAGCCGCCGCCAGCCGCCGCGCCGCCGCCCGGTGCTCCCCGAGCTCCCGCCGGCGGGGACGCGGGGTCGCAGGCAGGGCCGCCGCGATCGGAGGACGGGGCCCTGCGCCGCGAGCAGCGCCAGCCCTCCGCGTTCCGGTCCTCACCTCCGCCCCCCGCCGCGAGCCGAGCACCGCGGCCCGCGCCGCCGCCGCCAGCTGCGGGCGCCCCCTCCGCGCCGCCCCCGGCAGCACCCACGGGCTGGCGCCTCACTCGGCGGCGCACAGCTGGCCGGAGCGCACCACCGCGGCTCCCCGGCGCGGGGGGAGGGGGAGGGACGGCGGGGCGGGCCGATTCGCCTGCCCGGCTCCCTCCCCCCGGCCCGCGGGGTGGCTGGGCTCGAAGACGCTCGCAAGACGCGCTCCATCACTCCGGGTCGGGCGGGGAGCGGCACCCGCCACCCCGCGCCCCCGCCCCCGCTCCCGCCGCTCCCTGTGCCCGCCACGCGCTCCCGGGTGCGGGATGCCTAAGGACAGGTCTCATCCTTCCCGGGCTCCTGATCTCCCCTCCCAAGCTGGACACCGGGGACCGGGCGGTGGGGAGACTCGCCACGCGGGAGGCAGTGTTTATTTCAGGGGTGGTGTTTACAGTGCATTGTTATTCCCTGGCACACGCGGCCGCTCCAGGTCTTTGCCCCGTTAGGAAGTGTAAATCGACGCCAAACCCTTCCCGGTGCACACAAAGAGACCAATCCTGCGCATGTGTCTAATCCTCCTGCCGCTGAAGAGACTGAAGCAATCAGGCGAGGCAGCCCGGCGCCGACTTCCTCCGCTCCAGAAGCAAGACCGACCCAGGGGGCTTGATTTATGCACGCGTTTCTGTTAACTCTGACTAACGGCGGCTCCCGGCTCTCCATCTACTCGGGAAATAGAGAGCGTCGCTGTGATCAGCGGCTGCCCTGAAATGTTCAACTCGTGAAATCAAAGGAATGGAGAACTTCTCCCCCGCCCCGTGTAGGAACAGATATTTAGAAGTAGATTTTTTAATGCATTGGAAAGACTTTAATTAAAAAAAAAATGCTATAGTTTTCTGAGATTCAAGGGAAAAGAGAGTATTGAATGTTGAATACTGTCAATACATGGACTACTTTGAGCACTCAGTGGCTCAGGTTTTCCTAACTAGAAAATAAAAGCCTAAATATTGAAGATGTTATTATGACTCCTTTATTTATAAATACTTTATATTTAATGAATGTTCAGAAGATTATAATAAACAGTTTATTTCTGTTTATTACCTGGAGCAGTGTTTTCCAGGTTTTCATTTAAAATGTCTTAGCCCTATTTGGAATACAATCAGAATAAGAGAAGAAACTGAATTTGATTGAGAAAAATAAATAAATAAATAAATAAAAGCTTGGAGGACAAGTTAGCACGTCCTTCGCCCCAAACAAATGTGCATCTCAAGGATGATTTTTGTCCCATCCTTAGCAAAAGTCTCCATCTAGAGCCCAATGGAAATCCCGAATTTCTACATGCCCTATTCCAGTCATTCATTCATGTAGCAAGTTGTCCCCCCACCACCACCTCTTTCTCTCTCTTTTGTGGTTTGGACTGCCCACCATGCAAACTACCAGATGCTTTGGCAGAGATTTAAAATAACATGGCAGAGTTCATTGGATTTTTCACTCAGAAATGAGCTCTCAATTTCTTTCTGGCTTTTGAGAAAGTTTTCAAAGCCCCCTATTAACTCCAGGTGATGCCGCCTCTAAACGCCTGAGACATGTTTCTATTCCACTTGTATACACGACTGCTTTCTAAAATATAAATACAACATTTCGTTCAGTCCTTTGCAACTATAAATGTTTAATGGAGCATTGTCGCCATTTACTAGAGAGGGAAACTGAGGCATTGGAATGTTCTATTACACAGCCAAAATTTTGAGATTGAATTTGGAACTGTTGCAATTTTCATGATCACTCACTTCCTTTTTCATTTATATGGTAATCTGTGTCCACAGAAGTTAGGGATTACTTTTTGTCTAAGCAATTGTTTTAGGCTTACATAATGATCAGGTATGATAGGCAACTGTGACTTTTAAGGATTATGTAATGATTGTACCTGCATTTTTATATTTATGAAGACCACTAATATGTTTAAATAATTTAAATATTCTCCTATATTTGCTTTTCATTTTAAAATTTCTGATAGAACAATTTGTGTGTGCTATTTGTTTGCAGGTTGAAAATACTGTTATTTGTCATTAAGTTTTCCCAACTATGAATTGAGTTCATTGTATCCTAATGGAATTATTTAATATACTCATATAAGTTCCACATTTCCTATTAACTACCAATGTGAATTAGAAATTTGATTATATTCTTCTTTTTTCTCCAAAAATAATCCATAAGAAATATTTATATTTCTTTGAATCACATTGCAGGTGACCACATGTTTAGCTGTCCACTTGACTACAGTGTCAAAATGCTTCCACCCTGAATTCTAAAATGCTGTCATTATAGAATTGTAAAATATATAAAGTATAAATTTCATCTAAAATTATTAAAGATATTATAAAATTCTCCATCAATTTTGTACTAATTGCTTCTGCTGCCACAGATGATTATTGGTTACATGTATTATTTCATTTAGAAATGAAAACTTATGGCCTTCTAATTTATTTTATTCCTGGATTTATGAATTCTAATTCCCTTACTAAAAACAAAACCAAACAAATAAATTAAGAATAACTTTCCATTTTATACTAGAAGATTTTCCTGTAGTTCAATAACTCATGGTCATTCTTTTCTGTATTTGGACAGAAGGAGCTGCTTCACTTGACATTCTTGCGCTTTTAACAGATGCTCAAGAACATTACCAGCTTTATTGTTGACAAGAAGTATTCCTGTCTCATCTTGGACACTTCCAGCTCCAGACCTAGGATTCATTACTTCTCTTGAACCCTTGGTTTCAAAAATGGGGAATGGGGAATGAATTTCAGTTTCCATAAACTAGTTGCATGGAGTGCATGTATGGTGTGTGTGTGTGTGTGTGTGAGAGAGAGAGAGAGAGAGGGAGAGAGAGAGAGAGGGAGAGAGAGAGAGAAAGAGAGAGAGAATGTGTTTTCTAGTGTTTCTGAACTTTTCTGCTACAAAGTAAGGGAGTTCTTTTACTATAGAAATATATTTCCAAAGGAAAAAAAATGTTCTCAATTTTGAAGGATATTTCTGATTGAAATTAATGTTGGGAGAGTCAATGTTAAGTATTTCATCTATTTTTCTAGTTTTATGTGAAATATTTACAAACTTTCAAAGTTGAGTCTATCAAACAAGTACATTGACCTGTGATTCCTTCCTCTCTGTTTTTCCTCTCTCTTTGTGGGAAACTATTTCATTAGTTTATTCAACTATTATTATAAAAGGAGTTATATATGCAGAAACATTGCCAGACAAAAAAATCCAGAATGAGGAGAGGCACTTGGAATCCCAATACTGTCCTGGCAATACTAAAGCAGGCTGAGAGAATTGGCCAACTGCAAAAATATGCTAACTTTAATGAAAAAGTAGAGATAACTTAGAGGAGGAACCAACAGTCTATAGGGCAGAGCAAAGAATTATGGGTAATTATACTCTGACCTTGACAGCTAATCCACATTTTCAATATTTCTTCATCTGGATTTCAGAATCATTATGGACCAGTAATTCTGTTGTTCCCATTTTCACCAATTTTGAACAGAAATATGTATAGTGTTTGTATTATGCTTATTCCATCATTGGATGTTGGATTTGGGGAAGCAATAACTTGTCTCTTTAGTTTCAAAGTTTTGAGAAAATATTACAGTTTGAGAAAAGATCTATAGTTGAACAACTGAGCCTAAGGAGTTATATTGAGAAGCCTGATTTATCTCACGACCTGTTTTATGTAACGAGTTTTCTGTACTTGGAGCCCATGCTGTTGTGGGGCAAGGATTTGAGGGCTTGGGGAGGGGGGGTCAACATATTTTGCACATGAAGAGGATGTGGTACTGTGGGCAGTTCTAAGATGGGCCCTAGAGGACTTGACCTCCTTATAATCCCTCTTCTGGAACCTGGGTTGGATTTATTGAACTGATTCTGACAAATACAGTATCACAGAAGTGACAGGAAGTCATTTTCAAGATGAAGTCATCATAAGAATGTGGACATGTTAAGTGTCTCTTGGCTAGATAACATGTACCCACCTCCTGGGTGTCACCTAACCTAAAGATGTCGGCCAATTCATGTGTCCTACTCAAGACACTGGGGAAGGTGTATTCCCAATACTTTTCTGATGCTAATTTTTAGGAATATTTTAAAATTCTATTTTGGGGGCATGTCTTTTTGTGGGGGAGAAATCGAGTTAGGATACCCTCAGCATCCTTCTCTTCATGCACCATGAAATCATCAGGAAGATGGCTCTGCAGTGCATCCCCTTCTTAACACTCTCTGAGATTTACCTGCTCACGTCCCTTAATCTACTATATTTGAATCTGAATGTCAGAATTCTTGTTTTGCGGTGCCTTCCCCCACTTCCCACTTGCATTTTCTCTAGATGAGATTTAATATTTCAGAGTGCTGAGGCTCAGGCCACTTAGTACACCTGCACCTCTGGGCACAGAAGTCACACAATCACCTGAAATATAAGATGTCTGTTCTCAGAAGGATCTCTTCCTCCCTCTGCTATGAGTGGGCACTCTGCCTCTTGGAGATGTGTCCTTTTTTGATGTGTTTGGGGTTTTTGATTCCCCGGGCAGCCAGAGACCATTCTCCCTTCTCCTCTCTCCTGCATGACTACTCTTCCACCAAGGGTTTGTCCCTGTTGTTGACGGGCCATATCCCATCTTATTGCACAGTCTTTGGCATACCTTATCACCTAGTTATGTGTAGCAATTTCATGTGGAGTACTTTTCTTTTCTAATCTAATTGCAATCTTTATGTATGTGAGAGGATTTAAGATATTCAAATTATTTGGTTGCCCACACAAACACTATCTTCCAGAGTAGCCCCCTTATCTTTCAAAATAT